AACCTCTAAATTTCAAAGTTAATCTGGAAAATGGTCGCGGAATTGCATTCATATCATAAGCTCGATATAAATTGTCGTATTCAACGTAAATCCTGCCGTTTAAACTGCTTAAAATTATTCTCGCGGGGGAATCGTATCCGATAACACGACTGTTCGTTCACTAGGAAATATCGTCTGATTCACATTCTCCAAAAAAAGACAGTCCATTCGGGACGTGCTTTACATCTACCAGATTTCACAATCGTTTTTCTTCCACTTTCGCTCCTTTCTGCCCGGCGATGCATACGTATTTTCAGATCCTGAATATTTCCTACCCTTGTCGTTCGTCTTTTTCTTCTGTGCGATACGTACGGGGTATATACAGGGTGTCATGCAACTATTAGGATGATCCTACGTGCAGAAATAAATTAAATAGGAGGAATAATATTACTTTTGTTACTTTTCCATTCCTTTTCCTAGAAAATTAAATTTGAAAATTTAACGAGCACACTAAACCAATTTTCAAAATTCATTGTATCAAAAAACGAAGGGATTTTATTTCTATTTTCGTAGAATAACGTGTCCGTAAGTTACTTCTGTACAATCGAAAATTAGGTAAATTTGTCAAGTATGTATAAATTTGGTTCATTCTAGATTAAAGAAGAGTAAGCAATTGGAAGGAAGTTAAATAAATAAAAAAATGTGTAATAAAACTTCTCCACAAATACTTACTACTAGTAATAGTAAACTGTAAACTGTAAACTAAAATCTAGTATACTAATAATATACTAGTAATACTAGAATAAAATTTCTTGTAAGACTTCATTCTCAAAAAAGTCAGGTTTGAAAGTTGGTTAAATACGTTTGATTGTAATTCTGCATATTTATATCAAAAAAGCAAAGATAAAGACGAAAACAGAAGAATGTAGGATAAAATTTTTTCATTTAAGACTCAATTTCCAAGAAAGTAGAATACGGCGAACATATTTAGTTAGATAATTGACTTGGCTACTGCGAAATTTTACATCGAGATTGAAAACGCAATAGGCAAACATGTACAAAATACCCAAAAATATATAATAATGTTTAGTAAATAAAACAACTTTTTTATGAAAAATCTTTTTGATCATCATTGTAAAAATCTAATAATTATAGCGAAGAACACAACTAAATCATTAACCATTTAATTACATTAAAATTCACAGCGAATGAACGTGACATATAAAAACATTTTGAGTAATTAAAATCGATGTACAAACGTAAGATGATATACAAAAAATAAACATGATAACGAAAACATTTCAAGTAATGAAAATTAATACTAAAAACATAGGATGAACATCAATTAACGCAAAAACATAAAACGAACACAAAAGAAACATTTTGAGTGGTTGAAATCAATATAAATATACCCCAGAATAAACCTCGAACTCAAGTGCATGCTTGACAAATTTCCAATTTCCTTGAAAACGAGATCTCAAATGAAAGAAAAAAAGAAAAAAAATTCGATTCTATTTTTCCTTATATTATTTCGCCACTTCGATCCTACCATCCTGTATATATACGACACCCCGTATATATACGAATAGAGATGCATACTTATTCGAAAGGACTTGTCGCGGGCGTGATATCGAATTGCTTAGTCATACGTGAAGCCAGACAGATGACGCGTCGGTCGCCGAAGGAAATTCAAATCGTCGTGCAGATCCATCCCGTCTGCGAGACTCTCCGCGAACAAGACGAGAAACGTGTGCGTGCACGAGACTTCGGTAGTCTTCCTTTAGGAATCCCGTGGATCGCGATCGAGGAGACAAGCGACGATCCGAGGTAGAAAGAAATAAAAAAAGACGCGAAAGAAACACACGTCGACAGACGACGACGACGGCGAGGTCTCCAAGAAGGTGGATTCGTGTTACAAAATCCGTCTGTAGAATGCCAACGGTTATTTCACAGTGTATACCGAGATACGATCTTATCGCATGGCAAACGTAGCGGCGGTAATCGCCGGATAAGTTTCTGCCAGAAGCGGATTGTTAGCGGAGCGATAGTGTCAGTGATGCCGCGTGTAGGTTAGGATGTGCGCGCGCACCTCACCTCACAGGATCGTTGTAACCGTGGATCGGGGATAAAATGAGACGTGATATTAAGCGTAACGCGGTACTCTACAGGGGATAATTACCGCTCAGAAGTTGAAAATTGAGCGGTGTGAGTTTTGAGTAGATTATTTACTCTTGTCGTGTAATTACACGTCGTGGCGTTGGGTTTACACTCGGGCGGAGCTTCGCGGGTGATTTGGCAACGATTCGCAATTAACCATTGACGCGGTGACGCGCGTTTTATGAATAACTTCGCTCTATATGAATAACGACTCTATTAGTTCGAAGAACGTATTGGCTTTTGACGTCGGATTGTAAAAAGTTATATTTTCATGTGAGTACTGTATATTTCTCTGGAGAAATATAAATTTTTTTTTCTAGAAAAAGTGAAATAAATGATTAAGATATTTATGTATACTTTAAGTATGATATATAGAGAGTTAAGTTGATATGGAAGAGTTTAATCATTATAATATCTCATGAACATATATAAAGTAACAGATTTAAAAATGACTATTTAAACTATTTCATTGGCTTAGGGTTTTGATAATAGAAGGCTATTTGCTATTTTCAATTGGAAATGACTTGGACTAACTGGCTTTTAAAGCCTCCATATATATATATATATAATAATATATGATGATAATAAATTATATATATAATTATATATGACGTATACAAAACAATATATAACATGTAATGGTATATATTTAATATAAATGCAATAATGTATAATAATATATATATAATTTGTAATATATATTATAATATTAAATATTTTATTTTAAAATTCTATTATTACTTCACTTTTTTGTCAATTATTTGAATTGAAAACAAATAAGGTTCTTACTTTTAAGATGACATCAAAACTATAATCTCTTTCTTTTTTCTTTTCTTTCTGATTTTAAATATTTCTATTATAAATATTATTTGCATAAGATTTAAAAATTTTATTAATTACAATAAAATTGTACACTCTAGTTTAAAATATTTTTGCTCTTTTTTTTTTTATCTACGATCTAAAATAGAAATTGGTTTCTTAAAGCCATTGACTTTTATTTGTATCTACGGAAATATTTACATATTCACAACGCTTCATAATTGTAATTTTAATTAAATTATCGATGCATTAACGATCTATGAAAAAATAAAAATATTTTTAATTACTATTTCCGCTTGAATTATATTTGTACAACAAAATATTTTATTCATTATATTTATTTCCTTATTCGTTTAAAATTTAAATTGTTAATTTATAACGAAATATACTTAATAAATAAATATCTATTATCCTTTAGAATTTAAATTTCAGATTTCAACTTTCAGAATTAAATTCAGAATTTAGCTAATAGTTTGAACAATATTTTCACTGAACTGACATTACTTGTAATAATAATAATAAAGTAGAGTACACATTATTTTCAGATTAGATTGCAGACACTGACGTACTGATCCAAATTTTGATACAGAAATACTTAAATCTAGGCAAAACAAACAGTTAGAGAGTTAAAAATATATATTTTGTTACCGAACTTTGAAACAAGAAATATTACATAGTTGATATTCCAAGAATGAATCACGATGGAGAAATGTTTTTTTTAAGTTTACGAAACTCAAAGTGAATCTAGCGATAGGAATTCTGAATCTCCGAGTTACAAGATTTGGCTTGTTAAGGGTTAGTGATGTTGGTTGTTGTACGATTGGTTCGATGGTCGTTCGAAACAGGACTGATTCTCCTTAGAGATAAAGTTCAACAACCCAAGGATAGATGTAGAATATTGGACAGATATTCGGATTGAATTTAACGGTCATACAAATTCCAAGTTTAAAAGCATATATAAAATAAGGGATTTAAAAATAATTTAACAAAATAACAGTTCTCTTTTAACATGTAATTTCTATATTCATCTCAACTGAATTATTGACATTAATAATACATTTCAAAAAAATTTTACATGAAATCTCTTTATTATTAATTTTCTTCACATTTCTCATTCCCTGTCAAATGATGGATAATGGTAGAATTTATGTTCTTTCATCGGGAACTCTGTTCCCCTTGCTGTATGTCATAGTAATATCCCTTGAAAGAAATCAATAAGTTTTATGACATTTTCTCAAGTTTGAAGTTCTGGAAAAAAGTAACCGCGATATGTAGTATATGTTATTTATACAACTTCATATTTATATAAAAGTTGACAAAAAGGGAAGAAAATTATTTCATTTTCGTTAAAAATACAAAAAGGTTCTTTCAAGATTCTGTGCATTACTGTACTTGAAAAAATATTTATAAATATATAATATAGTTATATAATATAGTATATTTATTAAAAATAAAAAATATATGATATATAAATATATAATATAATATAATATAATAATAATATAATATAATATAATATAATATAATAATAATATAATATAATATAATATAATATAATAATAATATAATATAATATATTTATTAAAAATAAAAAATATATAATATATAAATATATAATATAATATATTTATTAAAAATTCGCAGTTTATTTATTAGCATTCAGCGCACATATTGTACTATAAATTTCTTCGTCTTTTGATAAAAATCGACAATAATTCATAAAATTCGAGCTTAATAGAAAACGCATATACCTGTATAATACAAGAAGTAGACACATAAAACTTTAATCAAACCGAGGAAGCAATTTAAACTTTAAAATTGATAACGTTTTCCTCGTACTTATAACTTTCTCTACGTATAGTACATGTTAAACGATATTCTGGTCAATGTCCTCGGCAAGGTGGGGGAGTTTACACGTGTCGTATGATCGGTCGATTCACGAAGACGAACGTACAAGTGAAACTTTCGCTGTATCGTTCGTGTCGTCGGTATTGCCTCTTCATAATTGATCAGCCGATCGATATTCGCTGCTGTTTTGCTTTCAGGACTCGAAGCTGAGTTGTATTACGTGAGAGAAGGAGTGGTTAACACGTACGCGATGAATTTCGTCGTGCCCGTGCCTGCGTACATCGCGGACCTCGAATTCTCTTGGCAGAGTCTCACCGGACATCCGGTAAGTACATGTTAACAATAACATTGATAAAACAATTTTGTAACACTGTCTGATCTTTATTAATATCATTGTTTTATATTTTGGAAATTGTGTGATATTATCAACAATAAGTAATAAATGTTAGTAATATTATTTTTGCATTTCTTGGAGTGTTCGTTCACTTCATTGAAAATTTATGAGGAACTATGCCCTCGGAAGGACAATGTTTAGACACAACTCTGTTAAAAAAAAAATTTAATTCTGTTTTTCTACGTTCGGACATTCTGTTGGTGATTTTTGTAGAGTTTTGTGTGAATATACAAACGTAGAAATTATTTACCCTCGGTTTTTTTAAGGAAAAACAATTTTGGAAGAAAATACAAATTTTTAAGTTTGAACTTTTTTTTTTCATACTTCAACTATAAAAATTGCTCAAACCGTATCATAGTATAATTAAACATTGTTTTAGGTATTAATAATTATTAGCATTATTACTCGAAGAATTTGAATTGCTAAAGTAATAAATTTTTTCATCTTATCAGCACAAGCTGATTCAGAATGACAAAATTCATGATAAGATGGATTTATAATACAGCATAATGACACATGAATGAGGAAGAATGATATAATGAATTATAGAGATAAATGAATGTAAAATTGAACGTGTGTGATATGTAAAATTTGATGATAGATCAATGTTCATTTCACAAATAAAACTCGCGGTTTAAAATTTCATTTTATAGATTATATTCATAAATATCGTAAAATAAGAACGTAGAATAAGTAATGCTTCTACTTTAACTGAGATTCAACTTCTTGTAGTATTAAATGAAGGATTTAATAATAATATTATATTATTAAATCCTGATTGACTTATTAATAATATTACATCTATCTATCTACATGTATTCTTCATACAGATATTTACACGTGCATACAATATAATGTGAAAAATAGAAAGGTATAAAATAAAATATATAAATGTATAATATATAAGATATATAATATAAATAATACAAAAATGTCGATTGTTATTTGAGACGATATTAAAGTTAAAATTGAAAATTAAATCATCATTTCGTAAAATTCATGAAACATTAATATCCAAAAATTATTATATTTATGATGCATTTTCATTCCTACAAATATTTATTGCACGCTAACCGCATCAACGTGCTACAATTGCAAACAAGACATTCATTCCAATTACACTTAACATAATACATTGCACAAAATCCCCTCTTTGGATTCTTCTTCGTTGCAAAGTCATACTAAATTCTCGTCAAAAGATAATCAAGGTATTTAAGCGTGCGACCTTCTAGCAATACTTCTTCATTCCAAATCTTACCAGACTAAATCCTCGTTATCCCGAGGAGGTAACTACGACGTTTAGGCGCGTCATTAAAATCGTGCCCAACCTTCTACATCACACATGTAACACATGCACATACGTGTGCAATGCAAAAATCTCCTCCCCGCATTCTTCTTCGTTCCAAGACTTCGCCAGTGTCTAAATTTTCGTTATCCCGGGGGTAGAGGTAACCAAGACATTTGGCCACGTCTAGAGTTTAGATTCAGACACAGAGTTCGCCCCATTTATTTCTCCCTTACTCTCTTGTTTTATTCCCCAAAAGAGATCCGTCCATTGTGGACGCAGGTTGTAACTGCCTTTCAGCATACGGCTGGAGACGCGTATAACGGTACAGGGTAGTTTGGCAGAGCCGTGGAATATGCTTGCAACCGGCCATTAGTGCAACAATGCGGAACAAAGTAAACACGTGACCCCCGGTCGAAATGGTAACTCACGGCCGTGCTCGTTTACGTTCCCGGGACCAGAGGACTACCGAGGTAGTAGTAACGGTTCGTCACGAGATGGTTCCATCGACGGGGTGAGGCGAATGGGGTTGAGTTTGTCGAGTGGTGGGGTTACCAGGAGGGCTGTATCAATACTCTATCAATATGAAATACAAACAGCCGGGTATTCGAGGCAAGTGGGAGAAAGGGTGGCTGATATATAAAGCGTGCGGTTCGGTTTTGCGTTCCCTTCGGTCACCAAGGAAACCGAACGCGCGCCGCCCGTCCAGACCCTTCCCCGAAACGAGCATCACTAAGGAAAATGCGAAAAGTTGTAGCCCCGTCTCCCTCTGTTTCGCGTTCCTTGCCCCTCTGCACGGGGCGATAGCGATGGGATCAAGCTCGATATGCACGTTCGCGGAAATCAAACCAAGGCAAATGCGACGAAACCGAAACAAATCTGACAACCTAGGGCTCGACTCGTTCGATGTTCAATTGTACCGAGATTGTTCAATCAATTGTGGTGATTCACTCGAGACACAAGTCGATTAAAGTTAGAAAAGCCATCAAGTTGATAACTTGTCATCGTTTGCTTGTCGCAAATTATTCCCTTAGATTCTTTTCTTAACCTCTTGCGCTGGAATGACGCGCGTCGAGAATTTTTTGTTCCAAAATTGCAATATTCCCTCAATTTTAAATATAATATTCAAGTAAAACAAAATAATTGATATAAAAATTCATTACGTCTCAATAATTTTCTATCCGGTGTTATCATACCGGCGAGTTCGAAAACGAAAGCGACGAATTATTGTGTACGGTTTGGTCACTCGTTATGGTCCGCAGTCGGCTGCCAGCGCAACGAGTCACACAGTCGAGCAGAATTAAATAATTCCAGAAAGTTCTACAAATTTAATTTCTTATCTCTCATTTGCAATACACAATTTAGTGTATTGAAATATATTTTTATTATATTATTATTATATATATATTATTTAATGTATTATCGTTATATTTATATGTTTTACATTTATCAGTACGAATAATATTCTTTGAAGTGATACTTTAATTAAAGAGATTAGAGTGTGGTATTTGTAGAGGCTTCAGATATAATCCACAAAGACTCGATCACTTTGATTTTGTTTCTCGTTTTCCTCGACCACTTACAAAAGGTTTGAACTTACGTGGCGCGTGGTGGTTCAGTGCATGCTTGATTCCATCGCTAACGTTATAGGACGTTAAACTGTGAAGGAAATCGGGGCCTACGTGCCTATCGTTGCGCGGTTCGGTTGCCGTGAATTCCGTATTAATTTCTGACGAGGGGTTGCTCCACTTTATTGCCGGACGTAATTGTTGGTTTTAGTGTCTTGAACGTTGAAGACGGGCTGACGGCGCTTATTAATGGTAATTGAATAGGATGTTCTTTAACCGGCGTGGTGTGTTGCGTGTTTCGTGAAGGAGGTAATCATGTAGGAACGATAGGGATCGTGTGTTCGTTGGACGATTATCGTCTTGTTGGTAACGCCTTTGTCGGTGTGTATCTACGCGGAAATCTTAATTTTTGATATTGCGTTTTAATAAGCGGCAGTGTAAGAGATATTTTAATTGAAATTTAGCTGGCATTTGATCGAGGCAGTGAGGAAATTTGGATTACTTTGTTATCCAAAATTGTTTGTAATTTAATATATAAAATAAATTGAGTAGCGAAACGGACAAACGATTTTGTAGCAGCAGTATTATGAAGAATTTGAAAATGTTTAATCCAGAGGTTGACTATCAATCGTTTTTGCTTATAAAAATAATTTTAACGCAACGAGTATATAGATAAGATGCCAGTGAAAGATCTTACAGTTTTTATTTTTGATATGTAGTATTTATCGTAGATACGTGTAATGCAATGACAAAAAAATTTATTATAATGTAATATGTAATATAATAAAATTTGTAATATAATAATTATATTACATATTTATATTTAATATATAATTATATGTAATTATTTATATTAATATGTAATTATATAATTATACGTAATATAATAATTTGTAATATAAGTAATTTAATATAATAAAATTTTCAATATGTATATTTTACAACTGTCATTTTGCAAACGTGTTATAACGTTTTATAAAATAGAATTATAACATACAGATACTTTTTAAAATTACTTTTAGACTTTTTCAAGTGATATTAGTTTTCTCATTACTTCGTTATTTGTGGATAATAATCTTCTTGCAGTTTGAATTTTTAATCATTTTCATACGATGTTGACGCGTGTTCGGGATGCAGAAAAAAGATCTGAAATCTATGTTAAACCTGTTTCAAGTATGCAAATACTCAAATAACTTCATTTTGCATATCATTGTATGCTATCTGCATTTAAAGTACGTGATTTATGATTTTTGATGGACTGCGTAAATTTGTTTGAATTTTTTGTGTTAAACACCTATTTTCGATATTTTTTTTTCAAAAGATTGTTGAAAATTTATCGCCATCAATAAAATGTTTCTTTTAAAAGAGAAATCTACTAGAAAAGTGATATACGTAAGAAAAGTAAATTTTTCAATAAATCACATTGAAGTGAAAAAAAAGCCGCGTGACGATTTAATAATGAAAAGATTCTTTTTTTTTATAAATAATTTAATTAGATAATTGTACAATTTAATTCGTGATATTTTATTCTGACTTATTAATATTTTCCAATAAATAAAATATAAAAGAAAATCATCATTTTTTGGAATTTACATACTTTAAACTATTACTATTATAAAATGTAAAATCTTTAGAATATTTCTTCTTAAATATTTAAAATTCGCGAATGCATGTAAACTTTCCGTGATTGACTATTTATTACTGTTCTTCCATGATAAAATAAAGTACAAAAAAAAAAAAAAAAAAGAAAAAAGCGAAATTATTAAAGGAATCAGAAGAAAAAAATATCCTCATGTTCAGAACGTTCGGTGTTAATAGAAAATATTTCTCTTTTCATTCGTACAACAATCGAACTGCGCAAAATTCAAATTTGTCTCTGCCAATACCAAATTCGAAATTAACTGTACACACTGATCATATAAACGAACAGATACAGATAATACACGAAATTACATAAGCACAAGATTACCATTGCTATAAATTCATTTCTTAATATTTCCTTACATCGCGTGTAGCGAATATAAAAAAATACTTTTCTCCCTGTTATTTTGTGCACACCACACGAGCACAACAAATGA